TGTCTCATCACGCCTGCTCTGGTCACAAGCTGCCTATCTTCATGCTGTTCCTCCTCCACCCTGCGCCCAATCTCACTTTCGCTCCTTCTCTCTGCTTGCCCCCTTACACTGGAATAAACTCCCTCTCCACCTCCGACTCTCCCCCTCACTTTCCTCTTTTCGCACTCCCGTCACATCCTATCTCTTTTCTCTTGCCTTTCCATTTCTCTTCCGTAACCCCTACCAGCACCACCTAACACCCTAACGCCTCCACTGCCGCAGCCTCCACCTCGCTCCCTCCACCCTAGTCACTACCCGATCCCCATTCCTTATCCTGCCATTTTGTGCCATAGTTGGTAAGCATTATCAAGCACCTTGGCCTTTATACATGCAAAATATAATTGTTTAATATATTTTTATACCACGTAGTTTTAGAAGCTTTCCATGGCTGTATCAGAGCAATTTCCATTTGGTACAAATAAAATGTGAGGTTGCAGTCGAGGGATGGCTCCTTATCAGTTAACTATGTTATGTATTCTCATGATCTGGTGATTGCTACTCACTCAGAGAAGGAGTTGGAGGCACTGCTGCTTGATCTGGAGCATGCTACTAAGACGTGGGGCCTTACAATCAGTTCTACTAAAACTCAGCACCTGCCTGGGTATTCATCTTCTTGGTTCTTTCGGTAAAGTCACGTAGAAGGGAAGTAATAAAATGATAAGAATAAAACATAATAAAATAATTCTCGCGACGTTTCGGCCACAACGCAAGCAGCCGTCCTCAGGTGCCTGGGTATTGTTGTCATCAAACACTCCACCCACTCAACTCCCTATTGGTAATGGAGCAGTTTTGGAGAGAGTGGAAAGGTTTCCATACTTGGGTAGTGTACTAATGACCAGTTCCAGTTTGACAGCAAAGGTCTCACTCTGAACGAGTCAGGCGGCATTATCCTTCCATCGGATGTGCAACACTGTGTGGAAACTACCTGGTCTGTCGCTTCACATGAAGCTTCGGGTCTTATCTGCCACAGTCATGCCTTCCCTTCTCTATGCTTGCGCAATATGAGCCCCCCCTAATAGAACATCTGCGCTGGTTAGAAACATAAGGCTGGCCTGCCTACGATCCATCCTGGGTTTAACCAGGCTGGATTGTGTAAAGAGCTCACAAATCCTTGAAAGATCTGGACATAGTCCCATTGGAGAGCTCCTCTGGCAGGCAAGGCTACGTTGGCTGGGTCATGTAGCCCGGATGCCCAGAACCCGTATGTTAAAACGGCTTTCTTTGGCTTAATAGAGGGGGTTTGATGTGCACAACACGAGCTAGAAAGAGATGGACTGATGTGGTACAGGAGGATATGGAGCTTAATTAACTTGGTGTCAAGGTCGGCTCTGTGGAGAAGGCACGTGAAGGACACTGCTGCGCAGTTGGCGGCAGTCACCCTCCAACAACAGTAAATGTCAGAGGAGCGACGCTCACAACAATGAGTGGAGCGCTAGGTGGCTTAAGCAAAGCCAGTTGGCACAGTAGGGGGCACAGGTAGTGCATATGCCAGTCATCTCAATCAGTCAATTCATGGCACCTGGGTCTGTCCCGTGACCTACCAGCGAGCCTTCGCCACTTCGCGTGGTCTCAAAATCTACTTAGCCTGGCACAATCGCCATAGTGACGTGACCTCCACTTAGGGAGACAAAAATCCCCGTATCAATTACATACATTTCACTTGCTGTACTGGCATAACCTGATAAGCCAAGCGATCGTCATCTCGATGCCCACAGGTAATGACGTTTTAAGTTTGTGATCCAACAACCCTTGCATCCAGTCCGCTTCTTCTACTCCAATAACTCCTTTGATCTGATGATCATCTGCAGCTCCACAACAGTGTTTGTCAATGTGTCTCTACAAGTCTATGGAGGTTCCTCTGAGTGGGTTTTGCAGACTCGTTCTGTTCTATGGGTCTGTACACGTGTGGGTCTCTACGTTACTCTGGGTTGGTGGGCACTCTTGTAGCCTATCTAAATTTTGGAGCTTTCGTGACTGCAGGAATTATTCTTTGGTTCTTTCGGTTAAGTCACGTCTAAAGATAAAATAATAAATTAAAATAATAGCATATTACGACGTTTCGATTGCAACACAAGCAATCATCATCAGGCATAAAAGAAATAGCAACAAAAATCTAACTAGAAAACTATAGACAGACATACAAGCAGAGAGACATCACAAGGACACACAGAGAGAGGACACATATCGGCACAAAGAGAGGGGTCGTTTCTGTGACGGTCCCTTAAATATAGAGAGGGGGGGGGCGGGGACGGAGAGAGGGAGGGGGCAGAGAAAATTAGCATATCAATGAGTGGACGGCAACGTGCTGCTGCTGCGCAAGTAAGATGACGACGTGGCACGGCACGCAAGCTTGAAAATTAGGAGAAAGACACACTAAAATTAAATAACCTCGCAAAATATCGAAATGTGATGTAATGCAACACAGAGAGTCGGTCAACACACAATTAACGCATAGCCTGGTTGATTACGTATTTCAAAGATTGCTAAGTTAGAATTTAAGTGTGAAAATTCCAAATAGAGGACACAGGCAGAGAGAACAAATAGCCAGAGAGAGAAAGAAGATAAGCTTAAAACTTCCCCGTAGAAGTGGTTCAATCTTAATTTTGGAGCTTTCGTGACTGCAGGAATTATTCTTTGGTTATTTCGGTTAAGTCACGTCTAAAGATAAAATAATAAATTAAAATAATAGCATATATATCTCTCTGGCTATTTGTTCTCTCCGATGCATGCCGAAAGTCGGAAAAACAGATAATGAAGCCAAACCAGCACAAGAATGAGCAGCAGGTAAACAGAATACAAGAGACATCGATCAGATGTGCATGGTGAGAATAACGAGCTCAGTAGGACCTTGAAGCTGAAAGTGTGTTTCCTCCGGAGATCGCAACCACCACCCTAAGACCTGACATGGTGCTCTGGTCCCGTTCCCTCAAGAAGGTCTTCATCATTGAGCTCACAGTACCCTGGGAGGACTCAGTAGATGAGGCTTATGAGCTAAAACATCTGCGCTATGCCGATCTAGCTGCCGAAGCACGGCATCATGGCTGGAACACAGAAGTCCGACCAGTGGAGGTGGGCTGCAGAGGTTTTGTGGCAACATCTACAACCAGACTGCTTAGAGACCTGGGAATTAAGGGCCAGAGCCAGCGTTCGGCAATCAGAGCTGTATCGGAGGCGGCAGAAGGCAGCAGTCAGTGGCTCTGGATGAAGATGAAAGACCCCAGCTGGGCCCCAAAGTGAGAGGGCCGGGAGGTATGCAGTCAATAATGCTTGACTCAGGGAGGAGGACGCCCCTGCCATGCATAGTCCCATGGGATGTTGGCTATCAACAACAAGGCAACTCCTATGACTAATTGGGAATGGGACGCAAGCGTAGGATTGATCACCCTGTCGCTGGCCGCCTTTGGGGAGGGTGTATAGTATGAAAGGCCGAAACACCCTAGGAACCAAAGGTTCATTACTGACGATGCGCTCCCCAAATTTCACCAGGCTCACTGTTCATGAACTCTTGGAAGTGCTTTCACAAAGGATAGTAACATCTCATCCTGTGTTCTTTGGAATCTATGTTCATCGGAAACACATTCCTGCGGAGGAAGCTGACAGGAACGTTGGGTTGCTCGGTCAATGACCAGGGTCAACGGCGGAGTGGTGTATTCAGCAGCAAATATGGCCGACTGTGAGGGCGGGCACATGCCGGCGTGAGTAGGTTAAACGTTGAGTTTTATAAGGGCACCGCGGGGTGACCAGCCCCTCCCCATTCAGCCCCACCCCTCCCACCCCCACCCAGCCCCTCCCCACCCAGCCCCTCCCCACCCTCCCCTCTCCACCCAGCCCCACCCCTCCCATTTTTGGATGCAAGACGGACGGACGGACACAATAATCACCTGTGGGCTGGTGTAACCAGGAGGTTCCTACCAGTATAACACTTTGAAATGAAGTGTCGCTTGTTGCCTATTTAGCCAAACTGTCCCCCTCATTACGATTCACAGGAGGAGAGGAAACAGGGCGGGCCGGCTCCATGGGAATCACTGCACCACACTCTGGGCCTCACTCTGGGTCTCACTCATAGCAACACCGCCCTTACTGTGAAAAAACGTGACAGGATCCTCTTGGGAAAAGTGTCTTGAGACTCACTGAGGTGTTTATGGGTAAACGAGAATAGGCCTAGTGCTGCTAGGGGTGCCATGGTGGCGAAATGTTATCTCCCTCGCCTGGTATGCAGGAAGTCGTGGGTGCAATCCCGACCCTGATGCCTGTATATTTGGAGTTTGCATGTCTCTCTCTATGAGAGACATTCAATCGACGCGCGTTTAAAGTATTTAACCGCTTTAATTTCCCAGGTGATAAGCCACTTAATTGCGATATCATATGTGGCCAGGTCGCGTCTCAAAAATATCTATATAGCACAGTCGGCCTTACCTGATAAAATAAAAGTTTATACTTTGAGTGAACAGAGATCGTTGTTTGTAGGGTTAGATGTACCGAGTAAGCCATTCACGCCACACTGATTTTTTTGCAGCAGAAAGTTTTATTCCACAAGCATTTGCTGTGCATTGATCACTTAAATTAATTATTTGCCAGTTTCAACTCTCGCCTGAGGCCCAGTCATTGCGCACACAGACATCAACGTGAATTATATCAAGATGACACGCCTCGATCACAGACTAAAGAACGGCGTCAAGGTAGGTCAAATAAATGTGGCCATGGTGTGGAAAGTGCAATACCTCTCCCCTTCCCACCCCCCCCCCTCTCTTCTCCACTGCCCTCTGCACTCATCCCCTCTTTTCCTCTATCCTCAACTCCCCTCATTCTCCCCCTCCTCTCCCCTCCCCTCCTGTCCCATCCCCTCTCTTCCTCTCCTGTCCACTCCCCTCCTTTCGCCCCTCCCATTCCATGGTTTCGCTCACCTGCACTCCCCACCCACCACTCCTGCCACTCCCCCACTCAGTAGCTGAGCAGAAACCCGGAGAAGATGCTGTCCCCCCCCTCCCTGGGCACAATGACCAGATCGGCTGCGTTCGCTGGTTGCGCGCGCAGCCACACGGAGTCTCCGGCGGCAAGCGCAACCACGGCGCTGCCAGAAATCTCCTGGTCAGTCTTGCCGCCGAAAGTCGCCATGATCTTCCCCTTCTCACTGTCAAAGCCCGCCTTTCTCGTCGCCAACTGCACATTCACATACGCTCCTCTCACTCCTGCTTCTCTTCGTCTTCCCAGGGTGAGGTGGAAGGATAAAAAGTAAAGTCCAGCTACGGGGCTCGTGACGTTGTTGTAGTGGGTGTCGTAGATGCCCTGGCCGTTGACCAGGACGGTGTCGAAGGGGACGACGCCCCCCGGCGGCACGGTGATGGTGACGCCGATGGAAGCATCCGAGGTGGAGGAGAGTTTGACGGAGAACGCAAGCGGCGAAGGTGAGGCTCCCGAGCAGCCTGCGTGGAGGGGTGGAGGGGTGAGTGGTTTGTGGGGGGGATTCAAAATTTGAGTGCTGCCAATGTGAAAAAGGATATAGAGGGTCAGGTTAAGGGTGGTGTTGGGGCTTCCAGTGTGGGATTGTTAGATAAAGTATGGATGTTCTACTTCCCAAACTCCACTGGCTCCCTGTCTACTATCGATTTCTGTTTATATTGCTCACTCTTAGTCTATAATCCCTCCATGGTCTCGCCTCACCACCCTATATTGCTTCTCTCATCTCTTACTACTCTGTCCCATCGCATCCTCTTTGCTCTCAAATATGTACTGTTCCTCTCTGTTCCTCCCTCGTCACCCCTATTACTACCCTTATCACCACCCCAACCCCTATCACTAATAATAGAATGTAACACGTAGGATTTCGCGACCAATGTTATTCATAATAAAAGTTATTGTGGGTTAAATCGCGTAAATATGTGTCGTTAACTCACCACCATCCGACACAGCCTATCACTAAGCTTTGTCACGTAAACGAAAAATGCCAATTAATTGCTACTTCAGCACACTAGTGTGATGGAAAGTAACCCCGTAATATTTCCAATTTGATTACGACGTTTTGCTGGTAATTACAACCAGCTTCATCGGGCAAATTGTGCAGGAATTGTGAGGAAGTCCTCCCGTTTCCGGTCTTAAATAGAAGAAAGTGAGGTCATCACTGTGACCATATCAGGTGCGAAGGTCAGAGGGGGGTTGATGTAATCATGTAAATTACAATTAATTGTTAATCTATCACTGACCTAATTCATATCACAACCTCTACCCCAAAACCGTTCTTAGCCACTCCCACCTGTTATTCTGTCGCCATAATTACTTAACCACTTTTAATAATAACCCCACTCTTTATTATCTCAACCACTGTCATCTTGAGTACAATTTTACATGGTAAAGCACATTGCATTTAGGCACAACGATGTAAACCTACATAAGATAAACTAAGGACCCGACAAAAATAACATATGAGTGGGGTTGTGTGTGCCTCTGAGTGTTTTCATTATAAGTCAATAAAATCGGACACCCCACAAAATGACTAATCATTATGCCATGTATGTGTAATGACTCTCGGACAACTTCTGTAGTCTCCGTTATTTATATAATAAGGCGCATCGTGCAGATAACTCGATCTCGTGTCCTACAGATACTTGGCTAGTATAATATACAGATATTTGGCTAGTATAATATACATACATCTGGGCTAGGATAACACACAAGTAGCGATGACGTGAAGACAGTGACGGCCCGAAGAGAGCGAAGACGTGGAGACAGTCGACCCCGATCCCACGGCAGCCCCGAGCTCCCTGGCCGCCGCCTTTTATTTCTCCCCGGCGTGGCGTCGATCCACCCACGGCCACACCTCCTTTTTGGAGTTGTCCCTCCTGTAATTATCCCTCGTGAACACTTGGCCACGCACTGCCGCTGCACCTGCACTGTCTCTCCCCCCCCCCACGCACTGTCTCCTCTCCACGCACTGTCTCCTCTCCACTCACTGTCTCCAAATACGGCCTGTCTCTCTCTCCGCACTGTCCTTACATATGAAAGAAAGTAGGTGTGGTGTTGCCAGTGGGGCGTGTCTTTGACCATATATGGTCTTGTGGATCGTGACTAGAGGTGTCTATTGTATCGATTCTTCTCACAGTCGATCTCAGAGCTATGTTAGGGTGTCGATTCATCGATGGTTAATCACTGCGTCAATTCGTTGGCAATAGATCCACGGATCGAGTAATCCCATTGGTTAGTATAGCGTCGTGCGAATAGCCCCCCCCCCCCCCCCCTTTTTCTGATTGGCGAATATCTGCACGTTCAGATATTAAATTGCAGTTCAATTTTATCGCCCATCCTTTCTCAGGCATGCCTCGTGCTGGACTCATCTCCACAGTTGACCAGGGATTGGCCAAAACATCTCAATTCCTAAACAAAAATTCCTGCAAGTCACTCAGTTGAGATCAACGACAGCCTGTATAGCCTGAAGAGCCTGCTGAGCCAAGTGCTGTTAGCCAGCAGCACCGATGAAGGCCTGCACGGCACACGAGGGGGTGGGTGGTCAGCACCTCACCGACCTCCTCTGTCTGGTGATGTTTAGACACCGCACTGTGCACTCATTTCAGGCTGAGTCGACCGAGGGGAGGCCTAGGACCGGTTCAAATTATTGTCTATGATGTTAGTGGTGTTGGCCGTGAGCGGTAATCTAACCCGGGTCTATGCCGGGTTCGTAGCGCAGTGTGCTAAGTGCTGTGCCATCACTCCCCAAGAGATTGAGATTACAGCAGCAGCATGTATATTGAACTTATTTTGCACCATACGTAGCCAACCGCTATAAACCACGCAAAAAACAGTTCTACAGAAATTCGTTTTCAATTAAGATGAAAAATCCTAAATTCGGAAGAGCGTTCCAGACGGCCGCAGAAGCGCATCTGAAGCGCGCGATGCGGTGACCACCATCTTTGGTTGAGTTGCAGCGACATCGCTCGCTATTGCGAACGCTTGGAAGGACCCTACTGGAAAAAAAGTTCTTGAAACTCTGTGAGCCTTTCCTGGGTACACTAGTTTAGTAACAATCTATTGTACCATTTATGGACCGGTATAAACATTTTGAAAAATATATATAAGCTTTACCCTTCCCAGAAATAATACAATAGGTGGTGAGATATTCAGACACGAACCCATTGTTGCAAGCAAGTCTGCATTAACCACACATCATGCTTGTGGTAAAGCATGCAAACAAACATGATTTAATAAAACAAATTCATGACATAGATACAAAAAAGGTTCTATAGCTATAACTGCTCGACCCGAGCTATTAATGCTGTGATATTTCCATTGTCCTTGCCGTGTTCGCCTTCTGTCGTTATTCTCTGGTCTAACACAGGTGGTGAGACAAGGCAATAAAGGAGGCTGTCTCGGGTGTAGGCCAATCAGTTTCAAAGACAATGCATACATTATAAAAACGTTTGTTTGCATGTTTTACCACAAGCATGATGTGTGGTGAATGCAGACTTGATGACGCCTTGCAAAAATAGGTGTCTGAACATCTTAACACCTTATGTATTTTAGCTGGAAAGGGTAAAGTCTATTAGTTTTAAACTAATAATCATAATCATCGTAAAACTTGCAGTTGTAATAATGTTTTGATTCATAACAATCCGTCGTTCATGCAAATTTCAATCTGACAATCGTTGAGGAATTACAGAGCAAGCCGCAAGTCAAGATGTTTTCAGAGAATGCTGTCGAGTTTGTGTGGACGCACCTGCAAGTCCTTGCTCACCCTTCTCACAGGGAATTCCAGGTAGACCTAATGTGGAACAGACAAATATAAAGATGCAGACAAAGATCCCTCATTATTAGCCTGAACTCAATGTCCCGTTAGACAGCACACATCAAAGCCACTCGCCTCCTGGATGAGCTAAGAACTTTTTTAAACTAAATTGCAGTATTTTATTTAAAGCCCACTGAGCTATATAACTGTATGATATTTTCTCTTATAACACATTCGCATTTTCCCTGTGTTATATGTTCCTAAGCGCCCAATGAACACATCTCCCACCTCCAAGTACATAAGCAAGGTATGGTAATAATCATTACCGGTATGATGCCACATCGCATTGTTATCTTATTATTGATTCAACAACTCGGCACTGTCTGCATAGAAGCCTCTGCGTGGGATCAAGGCGCGGATCAGCCGAGAGTTTGAGCGCAGGAGGGAGCAGCTGGGGGAGGAGAAGAGGGAGGCGCTGGAGCACTTGGACGAGGAGGGCCGCTCCGTGATGTCCCGCATCCAGGTGGACATCGCTTGCTACGAGAGCAGAGCACGCGGCCAGGAGCGGGAGATCAACCAGCTGTCCGCCGCCCTCGACCGTGCAGGACTCGCTCTCCTTTCTGCAGGTGACCGACCTCCATTTTTAACTAAAATATTAAACAAAATTCTTTTTATTTTACCAGATAAAGCCCACTGAGCTTAATAGCTCTTTTTCAGAAGCACCATGGCCATTATTGATAGCTCAACCAAATGGCGTATAATCACGTGGAAATGTGAAAGAATTTGGATTTAAAGCTTTCGTGACTGCAGGGATTCATCTTCTTGGTTCTTTTGGTAAAGTCACGTAGAAGGGAAATAATAAAATAATAAAAATAAAACATAATAAAATATAATTCTCACGACGGCTGCTTGCGTTGTGGCCGAAACGTCGTGAGAATTGTATTTTATTATGTTTTATTATTATTTTATTATTTCCCTTCTACGTGACTTTACCGAAAGAACCAAGAAAATGTGAAAGAAGTTCAACATAATGTACATATGTACATTATAGCAGCCAAATAATCTAAATGCATGTCGATTTTCAGTGGGGAGGAAAAAACCGGAGGCCTCGGAGAAAAATCCACGCGACCACCATGGGGAAATAAACACGCATACTCCAAATATACAGGAGTCAGGGTCGGGATCGGGATCAGGATCGAACCTATGAGCTTGTATACCAGGCGAAATAGTTAACATCTCGCCCACCACGTTGCTGTCAATCATCCAGATCTAATTCGTAGCATGAACACGGTGCGTACAATAACATTAGCCAAATCAAATCCTTTCCGAGAAAATTAACAGCACCCATTAATAAATGACTCCACACTTATTCTTACTCACAGTGTTTTTTACATAGAAAAGGACAGTTACTGAGAACTCCCATGTTCAATCATATCAGTTTAATTGCAGTGGAGCCAGCTGAGCGAGCTGTCTGTACGAGGCAGAGAATAGAGGGACCCTGACTCCTGATGCATCCACTTTCTCTGTATCCGATGCTGTGTGTAGAGTGACATGGACCCTCACTAGACTCTGTGTGTGTCCTGTGCTGCGTGTGCAGGAGGAGCTTGGCTTTTGAGTGTAGGTCTCTCTGCTTCAAACACATCAGCATCACGAGGAAAGTCTGTGTCGTGCATTTAAGCCGGGTGAGAGTGTACTGCCTCTTGCCATCTTGGGCGGGGAGACCTGAGGTGGATTCAGACGAAAACTCGGAGAGACCAATGAGGGCATCGGTCATCAAGAGGCGCAAACGAGCAGCGAGAAAAATGTTTCTTAAGAGCGGAATGGCGACTATCTGAGCTGTTGATCAAGCACCTTGCAGAGTCGCTGCGTTAATGTCGCCACTGATGAATGCGAGCCAAACAAGTCACGTGCTGCAGGTTTTAAGAACATGATTAAGTAATACCGTAGGGGTACAACTCTCGCAGAGGACAAGATGTGCGCTTAAAGAGAACTGGGAATACACTACTGAAATAAAAAGACGTGCAGGATGGAAATGGAATGTAATCGTATCATAATCATCATTATCACCACGGCAGCCTGCAGAACCAGGACTGATTCTAACCTTGCAGACTTCAAGACATGCATTCATTATCTATTACAACTTTAATCGTGCTATTTGTTTCTGGAAGCTGGACCATAATTTTAAACATGATGCCAAAAGCTCAGAGAGCCACATTCAAGCATACATTGTGAGTTAAGAGCTCTATGACTATACAAGCAATGACAAGAGTATGCATGGCCATACTAATTGTATTTATACACCCATATACTAATATACATGTTCCAGCATAAGCACTATATCCACATTGGGGAGCAGTAAGCACAATGCATGACTGAACATCATGGGGTTGATTCCTGGCTAAGCTGGTTTGAGCCTACCTAGTGCTGGGATGGGTGACCACCATGCATAGTAGGTGCTATAGGCTGCGGAGCTACGGGGTGGGCAACAGAGGGCAGTCCAGTATGAACCATTAGTTGACTGTACTTATGCGCTTCTATGCTTATAATCCCCACCTTCACCAATGTACACTCACAAGAGTGGTAACATATTGTCAAATAACCCCCATGACCTGCACAGCGTGGGAAGGCCTTAATCCGGCAGTAGATTGACAAAAGGGCTGTGGGTGGATGTTACTCTGAGGCTATCCTGACTATTGTAGACATGCCAGTGTTCATATGGAGATGCTGCTGCAAGAGCATCATAAATATGATGCTACTAGTATCATCGTCATCAATGTTCATGAGTACAGGGCACAAATCCATGGTGCTATTATTAATATTCGTTAAGTACTAATATTAGTATTCATCAGTAGTTGTGTACACATAGCAGTATCTATTCGTGTTTGTGTGCAAAATCAAACAAAACGGACAGGAATTAATAGACCTCATTCCATACGTACACGTACACGCTGTTGTGCTGCACGCACTGCACAGGACACGAGCATCGCTGTTATCTGTACACATTTGTACGCGTGTACTCGTGTAATGAAGCACGCTCGTTATATACGAATTAATCTTTCATAAAACATTGTTATACGTGTTATAATTATTGTGGTTTTTAGATGTATTATTGAATTATATATTCCATTATACTATAACATAAATCATAAGACAATACCCAATGTGTACAGTAAACCCTCGAGGGTTACGTTCTTGAAAACGCTCGCAATGCAGAATTCGCAAATGCAGAAACCTTCGATTTAAAGCTTTCGTGACTGCAGGGATTCATCTTCTTGGTTCTTTCGGTAAAGTCACGTAGAAGGGAAGTAATAAAATAATAAAAATAAAACATAATAAAATAATTCTCACGACGTTTCGGCCACAACGCAAGCAGCCGTCCTCAGGTGAAACCAGGTCTGTCGAGGCGACAGCGTCTTCGAGTCGCGACTCTAAGACGCGAATTATTTTATTATGTTTTATTTTTATTATTTTATTACTTCCCTTCTACGTGACTTTACCGAAAGAACCAAGAAGATGCAGAAACCTTATTCCAATTTTTAAAACGGGGTTAGGTTCCTGGTACGAGTGAACATGGGGGGAAATGGTAAATGTTTAATAACGTAGACTACAATAAAGAACGAATACAGTAAAAAGAACATTATTTTTTATTACCTTTGATAATGATGATGCTTTGACGACGATGTAGGTGGTGGTGATGGTGAGGAATTCAGGAGGATGACTCCTCGGAAGATGCAGGCGCTTGATAACAACGCCGCACAGCTGCTATCATTCAGCACTGTGGGGAGCGCTCGCCGCGACACTTTCCCTCGCAGTCGACTTGTTTATACCAAAGCGTATAAAGGATTCGACTGTCGTAAGTAAGTGTAAAGTCACAACCCACAATAAGCGAGTTGAGAGCAGGATTACTATACTCATTGGTTATTTTTGGTAAAGTCACATAGATTGAAAATTAATAGATCACGATGTTTCAATCACAACACAAGCAATCTTATTTAGGTGAGAGAGAGAAAGCTACTGAAACAAGGTCTTATATAGGCTTGAGATGGGTGCAGCCTCAGGGTAAGAGGGCAGGGCTAGAGATGGTCTCCCCGAGGCTGTGGAAGTGGCCATTGTATTGTGAAAGATTAGCATGTCAATGTACTAGCTGAGTATGCCGCAGCATCGGTGACTGTGCGAGTAGGACATCCAGCCTGGTTAATCACCTCCTTCCAATTATTGCTCAATTTGTACCCATCTTCTCGGTTGAAGTTGTGTCTGTGTTTATATATCTGGATGGCTTCATGAACAAATCGTTGATGATAGCCAGTGGGTTTGCAGAGTACCTTCGTCTTGGAGAAATCTTTGGACGTGGGGAGCGCTCCGCGGTGTTGGATCGGAGTCGCGTATGGGACCACCCCACGGAAATGGGGTGGCACTGAGTGTATCCTGGGAGGGAGTGACATCTCCTGGAGTCTAAGGAAACTTGACACTATCTGCTGAGTGTGGCATGGCGGGGTAGAGACATCACTGTCGGTGCCGGAGCCTCCACGGAAAGTCGGGGTTCATCTGGACTGGGATGCGGGGCTTCGGTCGTTTTACAGCGCCGACTCCATGGCACTGTTACGCTCTGTTTGCTAAACCTTCGCTCAGGCTCTATTCCTGGCTGATGGTCATCGGTAAAATTGGTGATTCAGTGAAGATTGTGGATCTGAGTCGTGCGTCTTGAGAGATGAATGTAAACAACCTAGAGAGCTGACACAACACATTACAAATGCACACTATCATCAATGATAAATGCAGTGCTACATCGGGAACTGATTGGTGGGTCGTGGTTAGGAGTGTGTTCTTCTTGATTAGAATGTGCGTGAGTGTACATCCTCACAACCTTCTAGGGAGTGATAAAACATCAATGTATTCGCACTGCCAGAGGAGTGTGTTCATAGTGTAGGGTTGCTAAAATTAGCAATGGTGAAATGGAGTGTGTTTATACAACGGTAGTGTAATGTATAGGACTGCAATGATTCTCCACTCCCGCAACTCAATGAACCGTCGTTATTCCTGGTGGCGAATGTAGTGGCATCCAGTGGCTGGAATATAAACATATTACATTTTTATTCTATATAAATTACAGTCTACATTAGTAGTTTTTAGTTTTTTATTATTTGTATTATTTTTTACTTAATTTTTTCTTCTTATTTTTCTATCTACGTGACTTTACCAAAAGAACCAAAGAATATGAATTCCTGCAGTCACGAAAGTTTTAAGTCAAAATATCATCAACGTACTTTTAGAGTATTTGGCTGTGACTATACATGTCCTATGTGCCTCTATGCATCTCTATGCGTCTGTAATACCCACATGATGATGATCACAATGATGATATTAGCCACTTGTTTGAGCTATCATTTGTGGCCAGGTCGCTTCTGAAAAAGAGCTACGAGCTAAACGTGAGCCTGACCTGGTAAAATAAAATTAAAAAAATCGCGATGTCCGTGCACATTGCGACCCCTTTTAGCGGCCTTGTGCTGCTCTGCGGCGCAGTGCACATCGCGGTGTCAATGTCCTCTGTGTCCATCTGGTCGTGGACAAATAGACACAGAGGGCGTTTTAAACAATAAACGCACTTTGTATTTTATTTTACCAGGTTAGGCCCACTGAGCTAAGTAGCTTTTTTTCAGAAGCTACGTTACTGTCACAAACTGGCTTATAATAATTTCGGAATTTAAAAGAGCCAAAAACTCTAAACGCACGATGTTGATTACAATTGTGGATGGAAAAACTGGAGGACCCGGAAAAAAATCCACGCGACCACCACGGGCAGTAGAGAGAAAGAAAGAATACGCCAAACTCCAAATATACAACAGGCATCGTCAGGGTCGGGATCGAATCCTTGACCCTCTGCATACCAGGCGAGGGAGGTAACATCATGCCACCTCCACCACACAGGTCCTTTCCGCAAACTACAAATCAGCTCACGCTTCCGTTGGTTACTAAGCCTCCACCTGACAGCCTAAATTCTTATCCACACCAACCGTGTGGCGCCTATATCCATAGCAAACATCATCCACATCAACCGTGTGGCACCTGTATCCATAGCAACCATCATCCACAGCAGCCTGTCTCCATAGCAACCGACACCAACCGTGTGGATGATGGTTGCTATGGAGACAGGCGCCACACGGTTGGTTTGGATGATGGTTGCTATGGAGACAGGCGCCACACGGATGCTATGGATGCTGGTTGCTATGGAGACAGGCGCCATAGCAACCAGCATCTACAACATCCATTCATATCGCGTCTGTCTCCATAGCAAACAGCATCCTCAGCAAAAAAAAACTTGCATTGATAATTTTTCATCACTAGATGGCAGCACAGCCTTAACAAGCAGAGTCAGAAAAAGATATTCTTAGGTTTTTTCGGTAAAGTCACGTAGGTAAACATCAAAATTAATAAAAATAAAACAAAAATCACGACGTTTCGGAGGCAACACAAGTCTCCGTCATCAGGTGGGACCGTCACAGCCGGATTAGCTGCATCAAGTGAGGCAATGATTCAAGATGTAATCCCTTAACAAGCAAGTTGAGGGGGAGGAGAGGGGGGGGGGAGCTAATCAGAATGTGGTAGCCAATGAATGGAACGTATCGGGAGGGAGGGGGGGGCGGGGCTCAAAGACGGCAAGGAGTGCCAACGTACAACGCATCGGGCGGGGCCAAAACTGTGCAACGCATCGGGAGGGGGAGGGGGGGGGGCGGGACCAAAGAGTGCAGAAAAAGATCCTTAAGACTGCAGCGGTCCCCAACATTTTTGCACCCGGGACCGGTTTCGTGGAAGACATTTTTTTCACAGACCGGGGAGGGGGGGTCATCATTGGGTCTTTCCCCCTTTTCAAAGAAGCTCTCCAGCGACGTTTGTTTTTTACTCATGTTGGCAAGGGGTTAGCAGCTTGTGGACTTGCCAAAACTGTGACTGAGACAAATGCGCAGTGTGGGAAAGAGACGCGGATGGAAGTGGTAAATAATAAAACAATGGGGGCGGGCCACGCGCGGACTCACCACTCACCTCCTGCTGCTGTGCGGCCCAGTTCCTAACAGGCCGCGGACCGATAGCGGTCCGCGGCCCGGGGGTTGGGGACCGCTGCTTAAGAGGATGCTTACAGACTGCTGGGGAAAGCGCTGTTAGCACGGCACACGAGGGAGTGGGTGGCCAGCACCACGCCCGGCCGCCATTGTCTCCCTCGTGGTGATGTTTACACACCGCACCAGGTACTCATTTGATGCTTAGTCGACCTATGTGAGACCCAGGACCGCATCCAATATTCACCACTGATATTAGTCGTGAGCAAGATTCAAACTCCCGTCTCCGGATTTGTAGCGCAGCGCGCTAACCGCTATACCACCACTCCCACAAGCAAAGACCAATATACAGACACTCCTATCACTAGGGGATCACACGTGGAGATTTCTCAAAGTAAATACTCACCACTCGAATCACTTATTGAAACTATGCCGTCATCGAAAATGTATTACACTGCACAAACAAAACACGATCAAAAGTCCTTCACCTCCTGGTCTGTAGAGGTCATGGGACCCACTGGACAATGACTACAGTGGCAATGCACGTGTGTTCATACAATTACCATAGACTAACTTCTTATTTAATGTTTACATGACAAGATTGACCCTACCAATAATAAATGAAAGAGAAATATTCCCCCATATTCTGTATACATACAAGCCTACTCCCTACACTCTGTGGACAGATGTAGGGGACTGTACAGTATATCGGAGTTATGGTCGGGGCACACGTTGAGATGCAGTGGACGTATAGGCATGGGAAACTGTAAGGGGAAATATTGGGCAACGCACACGTTGAGTTAATTAAGAGCGGGTGGTCTGTCCACGTGGGGACACGGTCTGATAAGGAGGGTATATGAGAGGGAGCCCGAACTAAGTTCGGAGCACAAGGCTGGGACAAGACTGTAGAGAAACGACCAAGGCGTGGTGCAGCTGGGATGGATTCAACAGAGCTGTACCGACTATTTAAACAGAAATAAAGACTTACCCTTTTTGAAATGGACGCCTCACAGGAACTCCTTTACACTGGTGGCAGCGGCGGGATGTCATCCTTGACGTCGTAATGAAAAACCCGAAGAGGAGCTCAACAAGAAGAGGGGGTGCCGTCGCTAAGCGCCCCGGGTCCCCAAGACCTGGATGCCAGCGGGAGCCGGACCCCGCTGGACACCACATTCACAGGAGAACCCGAAATGTCACGCTGGGAGAACTCCAAGGAAGGGTGGAGACAGCTGATGGAGGAAGTCGATCGCATCACCTTGTCGATTGATAGGCTCATAATGAAGATCGTCGATGAGAGAGAACTGGGCCGGGTCAACGAGGCGCAGCATGGACAGCCGGCGCCCCTCGCAACATGGCAGGCAAACAGTCTAGAGCCAGAACTGTCGCCGCTCCTCGACGGGCTGGAGCAGTCCTGGAGCATTCGCCCCTCTTCGTCGCTTGGAGAGTAAGGATCGACCAGCCTGTACAGCAGGGGTCACCGGTTGTACCGCAAACCTACGCCGCACCAACTGAGCCACAGCCCCGGACAACCTCTGAACCAACCCAGAGCTTGTCAGGGCGAGTACGAAGGCTTGGCCCAATCGAAGAGTTTGCGGCCACCGGAGTCGACTGGGTAGCCTTCGTGAAGCGTTTTGAAGCAGCCATCAGGGTCAGTTGTTGGAATGAAGAAGAGGCCCTCCGAGCACTGCCCACATTGCTCGATGATGGGGAGCTGACGGCCTTCTGCACCATCCCAGAGGTTCAGCGCACCACACTACAACAGGCCTTTGAAGAGATGGCGGAAATATGCTGCCCTGTCATCCAGCCCCAGGCAACAGTTCTCAAACTGGCGGAGGGAAGAGAACCAGCAACCGATGGCCTTCTGTAGTGCCCTCCTGGCACTCACTAAAATGGCATTTCCCAGAATGGACGAGGTGGACAGAGACGCGCTGGTGGTGGAGAAAATATGGGGGGGTCAACCAAAAAAGTGGGATCGTACAGCCCATTGTACCAGAGAGCGACCAGACTTTGCTGTGGTTCACGAGGTGCCTCCAGGCACATGAAGGGGTAAAAGCATCTATCCTGATGGTGGCGCATGTGACGGAGATGACGGATAACGGAGGAGCCTGGGAGTCTACAGTGAAACCGTAAACAGCAACGGCTACCGCTGGACCCAACGTGGCCAGCGATCTTAAATCTACCTTGGGGAAAATGGCGGCAGCCATTCGCGAGTTCACCAACCCAAGGCACAATCGACAGGAGCAGCAACCATGACAGGACCATGGAGGAACAAGGGAGTGGCCAGAGATCAACTGTTACCACTGCGGGAATCCAGGCCACATCACAAGAGGATGCCGGGGTGAAGTCGACCCGGCACAAGCAAGCTATCTCCGACCACCGCCGCAGGAATTTCCAAGAAATAATCAGGCCAGAAGCGACACCACGGGCACTCGGCCAGATCGTGCAGATACCTCATCATCAAAACCCTCATCACCATCATCACTGGCACCCCACTTGATCGCGGAAATCCTGTACGACACCACGGGACAAAATTAGCCAACATCTAAAACTAAATGGAAATGGTTAGCGAAAAGGGTTGTAGCAGCAGCCACAATGATGTCCGTGTTAGCAGGAGCGGTAGGAGAAAATCATGTTAGGGTGTTAGTGGATACGGGAGCCTCGGTCAGCATCATA